AGCGCAAGTCTTTGGCGTATCGCTCGACTCGCTGGAGCAGGGCGGGGCGGTCATCGTCGAAGACACCCTTTACACCGAAGCTGGCGTTGTCCGCCGCACGGTTGGTCCGCTGGAATACCTTTACAGCCAAGGCCGAGCCATCCCTTTCTATCTGCAACTGACATTGTTTCCGGTGGGACAATCGCTTGACCATGGCTGGCGGGCATCGTTCTCGTTGGCTGAAGTGATTTGGCCAGGCATCGTTGTGGTGCTGCTGCTGGGGCTTACGATCTGGGCGATCTTCAAAGCTCCACGACTGAGCTTTCTCGGCGGGTGGTTCTTTTTAATCTTGGCACCAACGTCCAGTATCTTGCCGATCCGTGACATCGTGTTCGAGCATCGCATGTACTTGCCACTGGCAGCCGTTCTGTCGGCGATTGTCTTAGGCATATTCGCACTGCTGAAGTCGTGGGAAGGGGCCGGCAAGCGAGAGTCGATGCAGATGACCGCTTCGCAAGGATTGATGGTGCTGCTTGTTTTGTTGGTGGCCATTTATGGAAGTGNNGAAGTGTGACCATCGCGCGGAACGAGGTGTATCGTTCGGACTTCGCGATGTGGCAGGATGTCATCGATAAGAATCCACGGCATGCGCGTGCTTATCATGGCATGGCCCACAGTTTCGTGATGCGCGACGACTGGGAAAGTGCGATTCCTTACTTGGAAAAGACGATCAAGCTGGACCCGGAATATGCATTCAAACCTTACTACGGCAAGCAGTTTTTCGCGGGGGCGAAGCTGGCGCTAGAGCATNNGATGGATCCGCAACATGTCGACGCGTACGTGATGCTCTCGAAATTGTTGTCGCAGCAGAACCGTCGCCGCTCGGTGGCGCTGCTGCAACTGGCCGTCAAAATCGACCCCAATCATGCCGAGGCCCAGCAAACGCTGCGACAGATGACGCAGTAAAAGAATAGGTGTTGTAGAGCAATCTTGCGGTTACCAGAAATGCCTGACGCATGCGAGGGTTTTCCCTGCTTTCTGTAGGAAAAAGTACGCCAGGCAAACTCCTCTCGAATCGA